TCCTCACAGTCGACTTCCTTAGATTTTTCTGAAAATACGTATGTGTTCTACATGCGTCTTAGCCCCGGGGGATCTAAGCTCTATCGACCCAAAAACGCTCATGGCAATAAGGGTTCATCCGAGTTATTAAATCCACCCAAACCATGGAGTCGAGTTTGATTTCATCACGAACTCGCAGAGCCGGCCGTTGGCATACACCCTCAAGGGAGGATTAAACGCGTCCAAACTCTTAACCATGGTACCCTTTTGACACCCGAAGCTTGACCAATAGTTGAACATAGATCTTGACTCTAGGTGGCGAACTTTTTTACATCATCGTGCCTAAATGCTATGTGGTTGTTTGGTACTAACCTTCATGTGTTTGCTCTTTTGTTTAACCCATGACCGAGGGTTTTTATTCTCACATAGTAATTAGTACGGACCTAGAATCGGTTTAAATCTAGAAAAATCACAAAACTAACCTGGAACTGCGCATCGTGTCACGACATGTTCTGCCGCGCCACGGTGAACACTGCCGTGATACGAGGCTGTCTACCGTCAGACGGTAGACTGCACGTGGTACGACACGGTGCCCAGGAAAGGTGTTTTGTCAGTCTTTTTTCGATTTTTGTGCGAATGCTGTGTCCAGTTTTGTGTCATGTCTAGCTATACGGTCAAAACACGCGTCTATAACCTCACTTAATCACTCACATATCGTGTTCACACACTTTTTTTTTTCTGTAAGTTGTGCACCACTTTTTTTTTACCGTATTTTAGGGAAGTCTTGTTTTTGTGTCGTTGTTTTTCGGAGTAATTCGGATGGTATCCTCCCATATTGTAGACTATAGATTTTTTAATAAAAAAATAAAAGTAGAATTTCAAAACTATAGATTTTTTAATAAAAAAAAAAAAATTCTTTTTTCTTTTTAATCCGGATGGGTTAAGGTTAAGTTTGGTCATTAAAGGTGTGTTTGTTTCGGTGTTACAGCACTTGGTCAAGAAGCAGGGGTAGATTTTTACGGTTCGAGTCTATACCTCAACAACCTCTTATACCAAAGAGGCGTACAAGGAAACCACCTCAATCATCTCCACAAAATCCATCTCTAGTCTACTTTCAACCAATGGCCACTAAGGAAGACATCGAGAACCTCAACAGAACAATTGAAAGATTGTCTGACATGATGCAGACACTCACCACTAGAGTCAGCACGGTGGAACAAGACAATCAAAACAATGTCACTACTGCTGCAGTGGACAAGATTAAGGAACAGATGAGCAAGATTTCTGAAGAGTTCACTTATGTGGAACAGCCTGTCACCTCTTCGTCCATAAGAGACAAGCTTCCTGAGAAGTTTTCCACTACTGACATTCCCAAATTCAAGCCTACTAATAATCCGCTTTTCCATTTGAAGGCTTTTCTGCGACTATGGCTCTTAAGGGAGTAGATGTGACACTCTTCCCTACGGTGTTCCCTCTTTCCTTGGAGCATGCCTGTCAACAGTGGTTCTATTCTTTGGAATCCAAACATGTCGCGACCTGGGAGGATGTTGCTGAAAGCTTTATGAATCGTTACAAATGTAACATTCAGGCCAAGACTTCTGAACGTGAACTCTCCATTCTCAAACAGAAAGAGAATGAAGGCTTCACCACTTACTTAAGCAGGTGGAGAGAAACAGTTGCATTCCTGGTGGATCCCCCCAAGGAGAAAGAAATGGTTCGCTTGTTCATTGCCAATCTGACTCATAAGTACAAGTAACACTTGAAGTTTCTGCCTCTGAGTACCTTTGAAGCTATATACGATATTGGAATCAATATCGAGGATGAACTAATGAAGTCTGTTGGTAGCAACAATAATAACAGCACTTGGAAAAACAAGAAGAACGACACTCCTTCTTCTTCGTCTTCTAAGCCCAATAATGCTACCAACAATATCAATATCAATGATGTGCTAGCCCTTAATGCTCCTCCTCAAAGATTCCAAAGGCAAAGGAGGGTTTACACGCCTTTGGGAATGACTTATGATGTTGCTTATGACCGTTTGCATGGTCAAGGACTGATTATGCCAATCGGACCATTTCCAAAACCTCGGCCAGAGAATAGGACCGCTAGCTTTGACCCCAATGCTTATTGCAAGTTTTATCAAGGCAAGGGTCATAATACTGAGAAGTATTGGAGGATGAAGGATGCAATCCAAGACCTGATCGATGCTAATCAACTTCCTGTCCCTCCAGGGGGCAAGAAGCCTAACATTCAAACAGGTCCTCTTTCTGATGCTTTGACTATCATGGGAGATGAAGCCTCCTTTGATCCGTCGATACTCATTCAACCTGTGAATGAACCTCTGCCGGAAGTTGTATTTATCTCAAGTACTGAAGAAGTGAATGGAATTTGGGATAGTGATGATGAAGACGTCTATCTCAAGGATATAGCATGTTCATCTCTTGGTACAAGTGAAGATGTTTGGGAGGACTTTGAGGTCAAGGTTCTTACTAGAAGTGGACGGTTGCAACAACCTAATCCACCTCCACCTCCACAACAATCACATCCGATAGTTGATCCCATCGACCCTGTGAACATCGATGTGGTCAAACAACTGCAAAAGACCAAGGTGTAGATGAATGTATGGAAGCTTTTGGCCACTTCCCATGAGCATCGAAAGGCTGTGATGAATGCTCTTGTGAAGATAGGAGTTGATGATGACATGACTACTAGCAATCTGATTTCGTTTTTTGAAAAGGATCTGCCCCCGGAAGGGGACCAACATAATAAGGCCTTACAACTCACTTTGGTGTGTAGGCAGATGAATGTTCCTATGAGCCTGGTTGATAATGGCTCTGCAACCAATGTGTGTCCACTCCGTACTGCAAAGAAGCTGGGCATAAAGAATGAAGAATTGACTCCCTCCACTCAAGGGATTCGCGCTTATGATAATACTCGCCGTCAAGCCGTGGGTACTATCATACTGAATATAACTATTGGGGCCATTGAACGTCGCACCAAATTTCAGGTGGTGGACATTAAGGCCTCTTTCAATCTAATGTTAGGACGCCCTTGGCTTCATGAGCTAAAGGCGATTCCGTCATCGCTGCACCAGAAAGTGAAAGCCATAGTTGGAGGGGTTCCGATTACTATTAATGCTTCTCCTATGCGCATTCAAGTTATTAATACTCATATCGTCCATGTTGAACATGACGAAGAAGATAAAGATCTTTGGGGGTTTTCACTTGATGATGTTCTCGTGATTGAAGAGGAGGAAAATTGCCATCTCGACTTCGATCCCTATTCAAACACCAATATCAATGCCATTCTGAAGAAGCAAGGTCATTTCCCTGGAATGACCCTTGGACTCAAGAAGAAAATGGCTGAATCTTAGGGCCATCCTGGTGCACTCAAGAAAGATACTTTTGGCTTGGGATTCAAGCCAACAAAAGAAGATCTGAAACAAGCTTTACTGAAGATGAAGGCTTGAAATAATGCTCGAATCACAAAGACGGAAATGGCCATGGATCCATATCCGTTCACCCTCAATGGCCAGTACATCAAAGAAGGGGAAGACTTCCCATGCTATGAATTCCCTGAGCCATTCGTCCATGATGGGATCCGTGAACCAGGATTCGAGGTGTTCCTCGATTGTGACTTCGTTGATGAAGACGAAGGGCTCTTCACAACCGAGAAGCCAGCTAGCCCGAACTCTGATGATCTAGGAATCAACCTACTTTTTGGAATGGAGAAGAATGAGTCTAAGCCGGTCCGCAATGACAACTCCGAACTCGTTCAAGATGTCATAGCAAACAAGGATTTTGACCCCTCCGAGTTAATCGTCCAAGATGACAACATTTCAAGGGGATGGCGCAAGACATTGAGGATCACTACGCCGAGTGGAGAGAAGTTGGAAATAACCACTGGCGAGGGTCCTATGTTTGATGAGTCTGAGTCGTCTGGGTCCGAGTCCGAGTCTGAGTCTAAGTCTGTAGACGAGTCCTTAGAGTCTGAGGCCGACCCTCTTTCTGCTATAGAGTTCAACCCTGAGTCTCTTGTTGAGTCCTCTCTTTCTAGTCCTAATAATTCCGGTGAGGTCCCAGCCGACCTTGCCTCTCTTGATGTATTAGCCAATGAATTCAATAAAATGAGTACCTTTGCTTACGATGAGTGTCATTCCCCTAGCCCTGATCAATATTGCTTTGCTAATGATAAAAATGACAAAGAAATAATGGAAGAACACGAAAATAAAACAGCAGTTATCGAAGATACAGAAACAGTTAATATTTCCAATGATACGACTGTTAAAGAAGTAAAAATTGGATTAACACTAAGTCAAGATGAACTCAAAGAGCTAATTAACTTGCTTAGTGAATTTGTTGATGTATTTTCTTGGTCGTACCAAGACATGCCAGGAATTGACAGGGATATAGCTCAGCATACGATACCACTCATTCCAGGTATGAAGCCTATCAAACAAAAGCTACGCCGTATGAAACCCGATGTGGCTCTCAAAATTAAGGAAGAAATCAAGAAGCAGTTGGCCGCAGGTTTCATCATAGTATCCAAATATCTAGAATGGATAGAAAATGTGGTTCTAGTTCCAAAGAAGGATGGAAGGGTCAGAATGTGTGTTGATTACAGGGATCTCAATAAAGCAAGCCCAAAAGATGGATTCCCTCTACCTCACATTGACATTTTGGTCGATAATACAGCAAACCATGCACTCCTATCATTCATGGAAGGTTACACTACGTGAAAAAACGAATTTGGCACCGGTTCAAACCCAGCCTAAGGCACCGGTTTGAACCGGTGCCAATGTGGGGGGTGCCAAAAACCCAATTTTTAGCACCGGTTCAAAACCGATGCCATAGGGTCAAATAGGCACCGGTTAATCGGTGCCATAACTTCTCTTCATGTAGTTTTTTTTTTAATTTTTTTTTAGTTTGCTTTATCCACATACACACATAATATTTTATTCACTTAAATGAAATGAATATTGATCAAAATATATCATTAAATAAGAAATATAATCAGAAACATATAACAAGCTTGAATACGAAATATATTGATGATTAAATTGTTATTTTACAATACAAAAAAATAAAATAAATTACAACGTCAAAATCCAGGAAAAAAAAATTTTAACATTGAAGAAAAAAAAAATTACACATCGAAGAAACAAAAATTACAACATTGAAATCAAAATTCCAAAAGCAACACCTTGATTCTTCACCTGCATCAATTAAAACACCGACATTAATAAACTCACTGTAAACTAATATTACGAAAATTAAGATTCAAACCCAGAAAAAAAATTGAAATTCAAACCCAGAAAAAAAATAAAGATTCAAACCTAGAAAAAAATTTAAGATTCAAACCTAGAAAAAAAATTAAGATTCAAACCCAGAAAAAAAATTAAAATCGCAAAAAAATTAAATCGAAAAAAAATTAAATCGAAAAATACCAAGAAATAAAAAGAAAACCAGAAATGGAAATACATTGAAATCGAAAAAAATTTGAAATCGAAAAAACCCAGATAAAAAATAAAAATTTAAAAACCTAGAAATCGAAAAACAAAAAAACAAAATTGAAAACAAAATATATTAAAATCGAATAAACAAAAACAAAAATCGAAAAAAAATATTACAGAAATCGAAAAATAAAATATCAAAATCGAAAACAAAATATATAAAAATCGAATAAACAAAAACCGAAAAAAAAATCAAAATTGAAAACGGAAAAAAAATAACCCAGAAATCGAAAAACAAAAAATCAAAATCGAAAACAAAATGTATTCAATCAAAATCGAAAACAAAATGTATTAAAATCAAAATTGAAAAAAATAAATCAAAATCAAACCGGTTCGTGGTGTTGCATGTGCTCGTGGTGGTCTCTGTGGTGGTGTTCGTGGTGGTCTTCGTGGTGGGCTTGAAGGAGAAGGAAAAGGAGACGTGGTAGTGAAAGGGAAGGAGGAGGAGATGAGAAGGGAAGGAGGAGATGAGAAAATCTGGCGAATGATGAGCGAAAGAGGAGGAGATGAGTGGTTAATGATGAGCGAAAGAGGAGGAGAGGAGAAGAGGAGAGAGAAAGAGAAGGAGAGAAGAGGAGGGAGAAGCGGCGAGATGAGTGTTAGTTTTGGGGGGGGTTATATATGGGAGGGTTTTTTTTTTTTAATTATAATAATGTTAAACCGGTTTTTTTTTATTGAGGAGCGGTTCAATTGGCACCGGTTCAATTGGCACCGGTTCAAACCGGTGCCCTTTTAGTTTTTGGCACCAGTTTGGTCTGAACCAGTGCCTTTTATATTTGTGTAAAATGGCGCCCAAATTTGGGCCGGTTTAGGGCATCGGTTTAGCCTGAACCGGTGCCTTTATGGGGGTGCCTTATTGTATTTTTCTACTAGTGTTACGCCGGATATAATCAGGTATTGATGGCTGAAGAAGACATGGAGAAAACCACATTCATCATGCAATGGGGTACATATTGCTATACGGTAATGCCATTCGGGTTGAAAAACGCGGGTGCCACCTACCAAAGAGCAGCTACAGCATTGTTACATGACATGATGCACAAAGAGGTGGAGGTCTATGTCGATGATATGATCGTTAAGTCTAAAGATCGCCCAGGCCATATTATTGCACTTCGCAAGTTCTTTGAAAGACTCCGTAAGTACAACATGAGATTAAATCCAGCAAAATGTGCATTCGGAGTCACGTCAGGAAAATTACTTGGGTACGTGATCAGTTCTCGAGGGATTGAAATAGATCCTACAAAAGTAAAGGCGATCATGGCCATGCCACCACCCAAAAATGAGAAGGAAATTCGAGGTTTCATTAGAAGGTTGCAGTATATAAGTAGGTTCATATCAAAGCTCACAGCGATATGTGAACCTATATTCAAGAAGCTCAAGAAAAATGTCCCAGTCACATGGGATGACGATTGTCAAAAGGCTTTCGACAAAATCAAAGAGTATTTGGCAAACCCACCCGTGCTAGCGCCAGCAATACCTGACTTTCCTCTTCGACTCTACCTTACGGTCACAAGAGAAACAATAGGGGTGATGCTAGCACAAGAGATCGAAAGCAAGGAGAATGCAATCTATTACTTGAGCAAGAAACTTCAAGTGTATGAGACGCGAACACACCACTAGAGAAGTTGTGTCTCGCACTTGTATAGGCTGCATAGAAACTAAGACATTACATGCTCACTCATACAGTGCATGTCGTGTCCAAAATGGATCCTCTCAAATACTTGTTCGAAAAAGCAACACTCAATGGCAGATTATCAAGGTGGATAGTCAATCTTTCTCAGTTTGACTTGAGATTTGTGCCACAAAAAGGCATCAAAGGTTCTGCGGTTTCTGACTTCTTAGCGGACTTTCCGCTAGAAAAAGTTGAAAAAAAGAAGAAGATGAGTACGATTTCCCTGACGAAGATTTACTCATGACTGAAGATGATAGCTGGACACTCTATTTCGATGGAGCTTCAAACCAAAAAGGATGTGGTGTAGGAGTCTTGCTCATATCACCCAATGAAGAGCACATCCCAATTTCCATGAAACTCGACTTTGATGTCACCAACAATGCCGCAGAATATAAAGCATGCATTTTGGGGTTAGAAACAGCTGTCGCCTTGGGAATTAAGAAACTCAGAATCTATGGTGATTCTTCACTCATCATTAACCAAATCTCCAAGAGATGGAAAGTGAGAAGTGAAAGTCTCGCTACGTATCAAGCTCATTTAGAAACTCTCACGGAGCAACTAGATGAAGTGGAATATACGTATTTTCCAAGAGAAGAAAACCAATTCGCCGATGCACTAGCTAAATTAGCATCAACGGTGCGAATTCCAACTGATACAATCAGAATGCCACTGACCATAGAAAGAAGATATGAGCCGGCTTATGTTCACGCACTGGACAATGAACGAGAACCACAAGAAGAAGATGAAGAGCCATGGTATACAGACATCCTTAATTATGTGACAAGAGGAGAATACCCTTCTTATACTGATAAAAGGGCACGCCGTCCTTTGAGGCTCCTGACCTCACATTATGTGCTCATTAGGGGAGAACTCCACAAGAGAACTGCAACGGGAAGAAATCTCTTATGCATAGCCAAGTGAGAAGCACATAAAACCATGGAAAACCTTCATGCCGGTATATGTGGAACATACATGAATGCAAAGATGTTAGTCCACTTGGAGAGAGATTGTTACGAATACGTCAAGAAATGTATGAAGTGTCAAGTCTACGCAAATTTATAGCATGTTCCACCTTCTCTTCTCTACACATATACTTCTCCATGGCCTTTCTCCACTTGGGGCATCGACATCATTGGAAAAATAACACCACCAGGACAAGGAGGGCATGAATTCATTCTCGTAGAAATCGACTATTTCACCAAATGGGCCGAAGCGGCCTCATATGCTAAGCTGACGGCGAAACATGTAGCTCAATTCATTGAGAAAAATATCATATTCCGCTATGGGGTACCACATGAGATGATCAGTGATAATGGAACACAATTCCAAGCCGAATGCGCGGAATTATTACAGAAATATCATATCAAGCATCACAGATCATCGCCTTACAGACCACAAACAAACGGTGCAGTCGAATCGGCCAACAAAAATGTGAAAACTATCATCGAAAAGATGACAGAAAATTACAAGGATTGGCCAAGTAAGCTACATTTCGCCCTTTGGGGTTATCGAACCTCTGTTCGTACATCAACGGGGGCTACCCCTTTCACGTTGGTCTATGGAGTTGAGGCTGTACAACCAATCGAGCTCGAAATCCCTTCTCTTCAAATTGGATTGGAAAGCCAACTAGATGAAGTCGACTAGATTAGAGCAAGATACGACGAACTGATCTTACTTGATGAAAAACGCTTGGCAGCTTTGCATCATGTACAAACCTACCAACAGCGTATGGTGCGACATTTTAATAAAAAAGTCAAGACCAGGAATATCAAAGAGGGTGACCTAGTGCTCAAGGCACTTTGTAAAAATGTGTTAGATCCAAGAGGAAAATTCAGACCGAATTGGTCAGGCCCATACATTGTTAAAGCCATCCTGTCTGGCGGAAGGGCACAATTAGTAGACATGGATGGTAACGGCTTCCATAATTTAACCAACTTGGATCAACTCAAGAAATTCTATGTCTAGTCGCATGGGTTCATGACCCAATAGAGCTACGTTTGGCCTGATTCCTTTTTAGGATACGTAGGCAACCCCTCAAGGGGGCCCGACCACTTTAAAAAATAAAAATCCTCCCTCTGTTGATCAAGTATGTGCGTCAGTTCAGCATTGCGTCACGACAAAAAAAGGGGAATTGCCGCGACATGGGACATTCCACCGTGTCACGGCACGGCGGCCCTAAGCGACAAAAAAAAAAAGGAAATTGCCGTGACGTGGGAATTTGTAACGTGTCACGGGATTTTTCACCGTTGACACGGTGGAATTTCACTTTTTTCCGTTTTTTTAATGACGCATTCGTTGCGAATTCATTGTTTGTTCGAGTTTTTTTTTTTTTATTTTCGTTCTTCCATTGCGTCCGACTCCTTGAATCGGATAAATAAATAATAAATAAAAGTTATTGTAATTTTTATTTTTAAGGCTGAAATAAATATGCTATTATTATTAAAATAAATGCGACTACAAGTATTGGCATCATATGCCTTATTTTAAATAAAAATTATAAATCATAAAAAGCAAAGCACTATTGATCTAATCTTTCTTCACTTTAGGAATATCCTTCTCTTGGTCAATTAGGTCGGCCTTCACCATTAATGTGTCTTTCGTAGCCCGAACCGTCACACCCCTAGTCGAACTTTGACCCCTTTCACCTTTCTTGATTTTTTTCGGTTTTTTCTCCCTATAAACTATCTTTTCTTTACCCTTTCCTTTCACATAATTCTTCTTTCTTGGCATTATAGGAGTCTTAAACTCATTCCCTGTGTTCTTGGACCTAGACGATCTTTAGGAGGAGCTTTCTTATTTCCAAGACGACTCTTCACATCAGACTTGCGTGATCCAAATCGTTCCCTCCTACTTCTAGGGTTCAACCATGCCTTGTATGCACTAGATAAAGGAGGAGGAGCTTGGTCACTTGCAGAAACGGTCCACAAAGGTCTTCCAATCCAATAAGTCTCATACTTGTGAACGTTACTTTCATGCAACGATACTTCACGAGGACTATCGTTATAGCGTGGAATTACTTGTTCAAGTCCATACTGCCGCATTAGTCGAGCAGAGCAATAAAAGGTCAGTTTTGAGATACTAGGAACACGGCAATATGGAGTATCATTCGTGCTAACCATCCTAGTAAGCCTCCACCAAGGCACCACCCAACGAATGGAAAATTCCCTCTTTGCAAAGAAATTTTTCCAATATCCATACGACATGTTCGCAGAGTAATTCTTTTTCCTGCGGACTAGGTCGTTAGGGCCATATTTTTCAACATCGTTGGGGGCTTCAAATAATTCTAAACGCTCCATCAACCAAATCTGCAAAACAAAAAAAAAGAGAAAAGGAGAAAAATCAGTCGAAAAAAAAATTGCAGATTCCCGTGACACGGCAGGTTTCACCGTGTCACGGCAGACACCCATCGTGACACGGTGCCTGTTTTGTGTCACGGGGGCTACTCGGAACGTATTTTTACCTGCAGCAGTACCAGGGAGCCCTTCCTGATGGCTTTCCGGTCATCTTTTGCTTCGTCAAGGCCACGAAATGTTTCTCCAAGGCACGTCGGCATAGGAGATCTTCCGAATTCGACATGTTCAAGCACAGACACTAGACAAGCATGTCCTACCCTACCGTTTGCAAATAAAAGCTTGCTAAACATGCAAAAAATATATGCCCTTCTACGATATACATGATAAGACTCAGAGATAGGGCGATTAAAATATAAATTTGCAAGTTTTTCTAAGTCTACCTCATTACCACACACAATTCTATTTAAATCTGGATCTGTTAGATTCAAAATCTTGGTAATAATATTCACG